CATCTGCCCCCTATCTTCCTTGCCAGCCCAGCACCCAGGAAAACCCTAACTTCCCCCTCGGGCAGGATCTGGGACAGCCCCCCTCAGCTGTGTGACCTTGGGCAAGCCCCTTTTCTTCCCCTGGGTCTCACTTGCCTCCCTGGGACAGGGCTCCCCAGAAGGACTGTCCCTTCCCCGTCAGATCCCGCCCAGCTCCTCCCGTTTGTAATGAAGCCGTTTTGCAGCCACGTGTGGAGATTCACAGTGCTCTTTTAATTATAAAATCTACAGCCTGACAAAAGAAAACGTCCAAATCTCTTAATAAGGAATGCTCCATTGGGGTAGAGTCGGGGCTCACAGAAGGACGGCAAGGGTACCAATGGGGGCCATGGGGTGACAAAGGGGGACTGTGGGGCTCGGGCACAGGCCAGAAAGGAAGAGATCCCTGAGTACTTGGAGGTATCGGTTTGAGTGGGAGGTGAGGGGGTGACAATGTGGCCCACGTGGTAGGAGGGGCAGGTGAGTTCCCAAAAGATGGTGGAAGGCAGGCAGCAAGCTCTGGCCTCTGGAGATGCCGGGAAACGGGGTGTCGAGCCTGAGAGACTCGCCAAGTTGGGGTAAATTTACCCACCCCAAAGAGCCAGGCTCTTAAGGCATTGGAGGTCGGGTGGAATGGTATGGAAAACCCTGGCTTGGCAACAGACTGCCACAGACACCAGGGTGGGGTGCGGGACAGCGGGAACAGCACCGAGAGGTGGGTCCCGCCCCAGGTGGGTTCCAGGCTGAACTGAGGCTGACTAGCCTGAGCTAGAGATCCCAGATCAAGACTTTGCAACTTTCCCCCTAAGGAGTGAGGTAGATGGGAGGCAACTGGGCAGAGAATCCCCATTTTCATTACAAGGAGGTGGACCACTGAGGGAAGAGGAAAGGAGGGGGAGGGGTTCCCGTGGGACAGGTGTTGGGGGCCACCACCCAGCCCTCCCACAGGTTAAAGGGGTGGTCCAGGAATGTCTGGCAGAATGGGAGATTGGAAAGGGCACCTTCTGGCAAGAATAAGAAAGGTAAATTTGTGCAGCTGGGATGCAGGGGAAGGGGGGTAGGATGGTGTGTGTCAGGAGGGGGTACGAGGGTTAGTCCCTGAGGGAGAAGGTAGATACTGAAGGCCAGTTGGAGCAGCCCCAGCCCAGGGTCCCTTTGTCCCAGGGTCCCTTTGTCCATCTGGCCAGGGGCAGTGCACAGAGCAGGCCTTGGGGGATGTCGCCGGCCAGACAGCTGGGGTGGCGCAGCAGAGGCCAGAGGCCCAACGTCTGGGGCTGGACTTACGGGGCGGGAGGGGAGGGCGATTTGGGCGGCCCGTCCTGGTCCTGGTCCTGGTCCTGGTCCTGGGTGCAGAGCTGCGCCTGCACCTCCCGCAGCTGGGCCCGCAGCTCCTCCAGGGCGCTGGCCGAGGGCAGGGCCTGCACCTGCTCCTCCAGCGCCTCGAGCACCATGGACAGGTGGTCCACCTCGTCCCGCATGCTGGCCCAGGCGACCTTGCGCTCCAGCCGCTTCTTGCGCAGGGACCGCTGGTGGCGCCAGTACTCCAGCACCAGGCAGCCGCCGCCCAGAAGGAAGATGGTGGCCTCGCCCAGCAGCTCGGCGCCCAGCTCGGCGGCCGCCTCCTCGTTCAGCGGCTTGATGGTGGTGCCCGTGCCCCGGAGGCCCATGATACGCATCTTGGTCCGCATCTCCACCCAGTGGTACACTGCAGGGGGGGACAGGGGTCAGACCGTGGGTGCTCGGGCGCGCACCCCTCCGCGCCTCCCCATCCTCGGAGCTCAGCATCAAAGCAGGCAGCGGGATGCAGGATGCAGGATGGACGTGCTTTAAACATAACCCCGGGGGACACTCCAAGGGTGTCTTTACAGATTCAGGCCCTTTAGGGAGTGCTTGGAGGGAAAGGCGAAAGGGATCCAATTGTCCGATTGTCCTAGCGCCCATGCCTCCCACGACCGCCCTCTGTTCCCCCCTCCGGAAAGAGGAATGGTCCTGGCTCCAGAAATGTGGGTGCTGGCATGCGCCAAGGAAGGTGCTCAGGGGTTGAGGGGCGCTGCTCTAAGAAGGACCCCTTCCTCACGTACTCCTTGAACCACTTATGCACCCGCCCAAGGCTTCTCAGCTAGGCATGTTAGGGATCAACACAACACAGAAATGGATGCTTTTTCCCCTGG